CCCACCCTCCTCCCCTCTCAGAGATGCAAGCTCCCACCCGCAGCCCCGCGCGCAAGAGAAGTAGCGAGTTGAGACATAGATCTATCTCTGACCGACATCTCCGCAGGTTTCGACACTGGCACTTGTGTAAATCGTGAATTTTGCTCGTGTTTAACCAGATTTTCATCGCCTACCACATAGCAGACTTCAACATTATTAAGTTAAGGACCACCTTGACAGACAGCCCTGATTCTATTATCTCTTTGTGGTGGCCGAATTTTGCTATTCAAAAGGCTTTTTAATGGCTGCATCGATCGACGTGCGGTTTTCGCCAAAAAATTCTTTAAAATATTCTCCAGAGCATGACGCCCTCCGTGTTTCCGTTTAGAGACAGTTTTGCTGCAAAAAGCTAGATTTCTTTATTTCGCTGATCGCTTTTGTAGGCCGACGCTTCTGTCTTTGTAATTTTAGAAAATCCGGAAGTGATATTTCGTGAGGCGCATTTTGTTTTCAGAGTATAGATCTAGACCTTATAATTCTCTCAAGATGTATTTTCCCATTCCAGTCGAGTGTAAATATAGTAGGCCAATGACTTTTAGTTGATATTAAAGCACAGATCATTCCTTTCATCGAAAGGGGGCCCAGCTTGTTGTTTTTTTTAATCCGAAAAAGGGACTGCAAGGAATGTTTCAAAATCTTTTGCTCTGAAAGTGTTAATAGGTTATCAATGCGCACTGAAAAGCTTCCAAAATGGGGGAAAAACCACCACGTGCATCACGGAAATTCTCGGGGAATTTTAGCCGAATTTGATTTTTTTTTATCGACTTGTGTGCGAAACCACGGACATTCCTCAGTTAAAATTTCTGGTGCACGTCATAAACGGGCGTATAATCCCGAACTGTGCTTACTTTCGTAGCATGAGCAATAAAAAAAAAAGCCTCCGTTTGCGCAAAATTCAGTGTCGCATTAATATGCCACCAAGACGAAAGCTGAGAGACTTTGATCGTGCCTGAGCTATGACATAGTTGTAGGATGGAGTTGGAGCCCGAGAAGTTGCCAAAAGGCTTGCAGTGTCAGACTCGGTCATTGTCCGCCTGTGGCCGCGCCATCAAGCCACTGGATCAGTCCAAGAACGTCCACGTGCAGGTCGACCCAAGAAGACCACTCAGAGTGTTTGCAAGTGGTCCTTAACTTATGTTGAAGGCTGTAGCAGCTGGACTTTATTTGTTTGAGTAATGAGAGCTTTGGTAGAAACATCTTGCCTCCACGGCTTTGATTGAATAACATGATCATTATTTTAACAAACTGCGTCGTTTTATTTTTATTATAGCATTTTGGTCGAAGTAATTAATTTTTACTGCCTTACTGTGAATAACAAGCTTAATCAAAATTTATATTTCAGTTTTTGTTATATAAGCTTGACCTAAATAGTTGTCATAGAGCACTAAGTAGACTTTGACTGAAATAGTTGGGGTTTTCTTTGGTATTACCGAGTGGTGGGGCAGGTGAAAACACAGGTACCGGTGCGGTATCGTTCCTTTCGGAATTACTTACTTGAATGTAGAACTGGGGTCTTATGGACATAGGGTGCTCCATGCTTCCTCGCCCCTCTTCATGAGGGTCCATTCCAGTGTGGGCAGACAGATTGTCTCCATCATCAGCTGGTTGTTGTAGCGTCTGATGAGGTCACGCAGCCTGCTCCTCCTACCTTCACCAGGCTGCACTCCTTTCGCAATCACAGCCTCGTTCCTTTTGGAGTACACAACTTGCATTACGATACCTTCAACTAACATGAGTACTACCTTTTGGAGCACACAGCGAAACGTTTTTAGAGAACTACGAGCATTACAGCGTGCCTGTTCGTTCTTTGGCTCGTATTCTTAGATCTTGAACCTGATAGAAATACGTACCGTAGGCCCTACCTGTAGTGTGCATGCTTGTCTGTGGCTATTGGTTGTATGAACCAACACAGTTTACTGGGAAAACCGCTCACGAACCTGGATACATGTTGCGGGTGATTGATGGGTGCCCTGATTTTTGCCGGAAGCTCCTTCTACTTCGTCGCAGAAATGTCTTCTTTTTTGTTCCTTCCTAATTTGTGTTTGGCAAATTGTAACTGTTGTCCAACTATCTTGCTTTAAAGTACATGTAAGACTACAGGGGGAAAACAACTGTAGTCACAAACTGAAAATTGCGAGGATACCAATTATGAACGCTTGTTGGCTCATAACTGTATTTCTGTTCAACTGTTGGTTGATTATTGTTGTTGTTAGATTTCCCATTCAACAACACTTAACAGTAAACCATCAGTCAAACAAATATGAAGTTATGAGTCCACAAAGTTTTAAAATTGGCACCCTCACAATTTCCGGTTTGTGACTACAGTCGTTTTCCTCCTGTGCTCTTCGTATATCTTTGCCAATAGCATGAGTGTGAGATGTGATAGAATGATAAGAGTTTACAAGAAATGCTTTCCCTCAAAGCGATAAGTAGGGCCTATATTGTTGGCATTCAAACAACAAAGTTCCATGAACGAACCCATTCATCCCTTCAGCTGACCATGAGTGTTTGCCCTATGCAACTGGGAGCTTGTCCAAATGTAGACTCTGTATCATCAGAAACTTTGAGTATCTGAAAAAGAGCTTGCCAGCTGTAATTAAATCATATAATCGCAGTATTTTAGTAAGAGTTTTACGGCACTTGCAACACAAAGCCACGTAAAGTAAAAGGTTTTTAGACAATGGTCAATAACACAGTTGTAATGTGCTCATCATTAAATTAACAAGATGTTAGCAAAGAAAGAGTGGTTGAACTGACTGCATAGCTATAACTTGTACCGTAAAAAATAGAACCTCAAAGAAATAGCTTCCTAGTTTTGCTGTTTATATACACATGCATGTTCATCACTTTCAATTGCATGTAATTCAAAAGTTTTGTTTAACAATGTATCCACAAGCAAAATTTAGCACCCACTTCGCTTTTGCTCATACTTGCATTACGATACCTTCAACTAACATGTTACCTAATAATATGCAACTGCCGTGTAAATGCAGGCTTCATGCTTTTTTGCACCAACACCTGTTACGAATTTTAAACTAAAATGTACGCTTTTTTGCTCCGATAAGCATAATCATCATAGCCACATGAAGGTAGCTATGTACGATGTGTCTCTATAGTCTTCTTGCACAATCATGCGTGTACAGCAGTTATAGCGTATTAGATATCACTGACTATGTGTTGCTGATCTGCCTGCGTGCTCCGGTGTTCTAAACTGGCCTATCGCCTAAAGTTTGTCTGTCACCGCTCATGACTCATCAAGCACACTCACGATATACGCACCCTGATTTCAAAAGTGAATTTCACACAGATGTGAGTGGAACTAATTTGCGTTTGATAGTAGTAACGTTGATTGTGTGATTAGTGTTAGATTTGTCTTTACATAGTCCGCTTACATTACTGTCATGTTTACCCATGTGTGTTTTTTGTCTTGCTAACGCTAACTGCTGGAATCTTCTTTGTAGTGCAGCAAGAAAATAGCAGTAGCCTACTTTGAGGTTGTAATTTTCATGCCTTCGTCTGCGTGATTATATTGACAGGTTGTTGTTGTTGTTTTTTGTAGGTTTATTTTTCATACAATACATTTAGAAAGTTATGGCCCATTCAATTAAGTTCAAACATATTTTCGTGTTTTCATTTCTTTCAATATTTTGGATTTTATTCTCTTTCTTTCTTGCATTTTAGAGCATATGTTTAAGCAACAAGCACCTGTCGTGTATGCACACTTATGTTAAACGTTAGGCTATGTCAATGATGTTAGAATTAGTCAAATTATCGATTTTCAGGTGTGTGAGTGTATACGTGTAAGTTATGTACACTATATGTGCGTGTGTGTTTCCGATTGTGTATGCATGCCTCTGTCTGTGCGTGTGTGCGCGTGTATGTTTGTGAGTGCGTATGTGTGCGCGCATGTGCATGCGCGTGTGTTTGTGTGTGTGTGTGTGTGTGTGTGTGT